AGAACAGCAATCTCTCTCTCTCTCTCTCTCTCTATCTTGAAATATCCTTTTTTCATTGCAAATTTGAAGAAATCGAAAATGGGCTCCCACCTATTTTTGCCTCATTTCCACGTACCTTTAATGCGTGCCAATTGTTTTCGTCTTTTACATTTTCATCGCTGTGTTCAATACTAGATTACCACAGTGCATCTTCAGTGGCTTATTATTTTTTGTTTATTTCGTCTTAGCTATTACTGACAAAAAATAAATCAAAATTTTCGATGTGAAGAAGGAGCCGTTCTCACAGTACAATTCTTTTTTTGCAGAAATGAATACTACGAGGGTACAAATAATATTTTTAATCCAAGAGACCGAGTAATGTTCTTATCAGCTGAAATTATTTTAGCATTTTTTTGTTTCATTTTCATGTGACATCTTTGGCATTGGTAAATTACAAAAAAAATTTGCATGAATAGGCCTATTCGTTTGGCAACATGAGGTAGCCTCAGTATTGGTAAAGTTACGACTCAATCGTTTTTTGAGGTAAACGTGCCAGCTCTCCAGTTTGTTTGACCACCCACACATCGTCGATCGTCGACTTCAGGAACGAACTTTTTTCTTCCATTTTGAAAAGTCCCTTATTCCAAATTTCTTTGAATGCCCTACATAACATAGATTTTCTTTTCGAACCCAGCATTTTGAAGATTCGTTTCGCTCTAGTAAAGTGTTTTATATAACAATGCTTATTTTTTAGTTCACGTTGCAATAGGATGATTCCCGACATTGCGGAATAGGCCTATTTCTCTCACATTGTTAAATGAATGATCATGGTCTTCTGTTCACAACTGAAATTTGTTAGTTTAGAATTATGCTTTCCTAACTGGTTGAGTTCTGGTTAAACCGGAAATCGTACGTAGTTTGGTTTCAGCTAATCAATCAAGTACGCATCTTTTGGAGTTATCCTGAAATTGGAACACCAAGGGTGCTGTTTTTTTCCTGCGCTACGTAGCAAAAATTTCCCAACAGATGTTACTGCTAGAAGTCACTATTTGGGCAAATTGCACAGAATATTTTCATGGAAGTGCGGTCTTTGTGGCCAATTTTACAGTTTCTTCCACTTCTATGAGAATTGATCTAAATAAACAAAAAATGTTCAGTTGAATGAGATTAACTGTTGATTGGCCTATGCCCAATGGTGAAATTGCTTGATGAGGCTATTTTGCCAAAAATCAACGAGAGTAATCACTAAAACTCTTGTCTCGGTTATAAAGCAGCGTATACCCTACTCTTATCGGTGGTTTTTTATATATGAAATACCTTCTAATTATTCTTTTACTAAATATATTTAATTATATGAGTTTCTTATGCAAATTCAGTTAAGTTTTTGTCGTTTTCTGAAAATTTATGATGAAGTTTCTCCCATCAAGTTAAAATTTAATTTTGCCTAGTTACAGTCTACTAGCACTTTCCGAGATGGCTATCTAACATTCCCGGCAAAATTTCATCCCAAATATGTAAGCGAATACTCATTTATCCCATTGGTTCCTTCTTCCACCAATCAGCTTTCTCGGTTAGCTATTCGAAGAGGTTGAAGCAGTCCACATTTCCCTCCCCCATCGTCATTGCCAGCACAAAACACCATGCGCATATCAATAACAGTTTCTTGCATTTGTCTATTTTTTGCAAATGATTCATAAAGTTCCCCGTGACAAGGATTTTTTAGTTATACCCACGATATTAATCACCAATGCATAGGTTCTTGAACAACAATTGCAGTCCTTTTACAGGGGGAAACGACATTCATGGAGCTTAATGTATTTGAAGTGTATAACAATGTGATGTTTTTTCGATCGAATTATCAAATAGAAGTCTCTGAATATAGGCCATCCATAGTTCTACTTGAATAGTAAAACACACTTTTTTGTCAAATATGGTGTTTATTGAGGTTCTAAAATACTGATTAAAGGCGATAATATGGTTGAACCAATTGATTATAGTGCAATAAGAGACCACCAAATTTGGATTTTGTCCGGTTAGTGAAATATCGCCAATTTTCAGCACAGCGCAAAGCTTCGGCTCTAGATGTAAGTATAAACAACTTTACACGCATGTGTATCGGAAACAGCAAGCTAAAATCGATTTGGTAACGAATGGTTGAAACGGCCAAATGCACTTATTCTTGTCAATTACTAAATAAGTTAATTGTTGCACACAGATGAATGCTGAAACGTCATTTTCTTCTGTGGAGATATGATGACCTTCATTAATGTCGCCACTTTTGTTCACAGACTGTATCCTTTGTTCTAAGCGTTCGATTTATTTTATTTCTCGCACACATGTGGTAGTCTAGCATAACCCTATCCTAAGTCGATTGACTCCTCTGTTTATTTTAGCAATATAATTTCTCACATTTTACTCCTGCATTATTTCTATTCGTAGTGAAAATGCTCTAAACTTATTGGGGGGGGGGGGGGTTGGTTAACAAATAGACCTTCTTATAACCTCTAGCAATTTTAACATTTTGCAATGATAACTAACACAAATACATTTTATATTGTGTGCTCAGTAGTTGAGTGCTCGTCAGGCTTTTAATGAATAACCTAATTAACTGCATGTCCAATACGTCAGCTAGAGTCCTCCCAAGTGGAACCAACTAAGATTACCTAGGTGGTAAAAGTGATGGTAAATGGTCGCCTCTTCTCACCATTTGTTAGCATTATGAAATTGGTCCTTACTTCCATATTTCATACACGGTGTATGCCCTAAGCTGTTCCTCATTTACTTGCCTATCAGATGCGCTTTAACGAAGATGTCTCTCAGGTAAAGATAATTGACTCCAGTGTGGCTCTACCCAAGGTGGTGAGCGTAAGCACCACTCACTTGAGTTCATTCCGGCTAGTAAAAAAGTGGAGTGGCAAAAAATTGAAATTTCTCAATGGGGAAGCTTCAAAGTGCTGTCCCTTTATCCATGATTAGCACTGGAATAAGCTTTTTTTTTTCCTAAATGACTTTGATAGTTTCTATTGATTCTATTCACTTATTTCTTTTGGGATTGTGAAGAGGACGTATTTTAACTGCTCTTTTCATTATCTTAGGAGGTAGTTTGTGTATTGTGGGTTATTAACAGCAATCCTAGCTCTTTAAATTAGCTTGGCTTGCTGTAAACACAACGCTCGAATGTGTTGCAACGGCAAATAGTTAGTCTTTCGTGGTGCACCCTGGGCAACGTATGCTCATACGGCAAAAATGTGGTGCACCTTGGGCAACGTATACTCATACGGCAAAAAACGGTGCACCCTGGGCAACGTATGCTCATACGGCAAAAAGTCTATTGACTGGCAGTTGACTTCCGACTTCAAACTACCATGACCCCACTGTATGTCGAATTCGACTTCTTCCGCGGTACTCACCTTACCTTTTTCTGCCTTTGTGTCTGTCTCTTTTACACCTTTGAAACTCTTCTGTTCCCTCCCCCTCTCGACTTTTTTCAATTTGATGTTCCTTCCCCTCTGTGGAGCCCGAAGTCAACTAAAGGGCTAATGATAACTATCATAAAGCCTACCATTTGATATAAATACTTCACGGCCCTACAAATGACTTAAAAGAAAGACCTCCTTTTTTAGGAATTAGTACTCTGGTTTGAAAATAATTTTTTTACTGGTCAAGTATTATAGCTATTTGCCCTAATCCGTTTGGATAAAGTTTTATTTACTATCAATAGGGTGCGATTATTTGTTGAAGTCTCACATCTGTAAACTTGTTGGATTATAGCCGAGACTTGTGTTTAATCATCTCGAAATTTCATTTAATTAAATAAAAAGCCTCTACATAGTTGTATGATCTCGGGACGTCCATCTACTCACCTCTCATACCCAAGTTTGCCTAGAATGTTACCTCAACACACTCGCCTTTTTGCAGAGAAATAGCACTTCCTGGCATCCCCCTCCCTCCCCCCCCCCTCCCTCGACTGGTAGTAACCAGAACGGTTAGTAATTTCGTTTAAATTATGCACGCCGATGACCTCTAGCCTCCAACATTTACGCTTGAGTTTATGCTTACTTTACTTCAGTTCACCACCAATTTGTTTTTGATAACTGTTTTCGCTGAATTTCAGTCTAGGTTTGTCTTTCATTTAAGCGCGTTCAAGGTAACCAGCCCAAATCTGAAGGCGACTAGGAACTTGATGAAGATCGTTGGCTTAGTACTGATTTGGCTATCCAATTTTCTTCCAAAAGTGTTCGGTTCCAGACTGATTTGCGCGCATTCACCCAAGATTACCATGACCCTAAAGAGGGCACCAAGTGTTGCAGGTTTTTCTTGTGGTGAAATAGCAACTGAATAGCTTAGCAATAAGTCCACTGAATGGCGAAATGGGGTGGATTTAAGTGAAGTCGGAAGTGAATTCAAGGTGTCGGTGAGTCCTACTTCATTCCAAAGCATATCCGCACAATTTGCGTATTTCATGTTCAAGTTATTCTACCTTATTGAACCGTCACACCTCCACTACTTGATCAAGGTCTTGTTTACTGTAGCCAGTGCTTATGAAAAGAGCCTGGTTTATTTATGATAGTGTTCTCGCCACTTAAATTCATTTTGTCCTCTTAAGGGTAGAGAGATTATTGGCTCAAGTTACATATGCAAGTGGTGCTCTAGTCATATTTCCGAAGAAAAATCAACAAGTAGGACGAATGCAGCAAACACTTTTCCACCTTCAAATCTCAAACAAGAACAAATTATTTTTTAATTAAAGCAATAAATTTAGTTTCAGGAAATTACTATTTGTTTCAATGAGTATTTTAACCTTCTCTTGAATGTTGGGCCTTATTATTATTATTATTTCTTCTTATTCCTTGGTTTGGCATATGTTTCTCTATTGATATCTTCTAAATTCATAAAGCCAATCTAGAAGCTTCCTTGGCAAAATACGTGAAGCGCCCTTTTATGCTTGAGCTTAGATGGTTAGTGCTATTTCATTTCCCCATACCCCCACCCCCCCCCCCCCCCCCCCCCCCCATCAATTTATACGTTTCATTGATCGCAGGGGGTGGGGCCTTACGCCCTGCCTTCTCTCTTTATACGCTTTTTGATTCTTTTCGTCTTTTTCCTACCTGGTGTGTTTCATTTTATGGGATGCAAGTGCCTTATTTATTCCCTTCTAATACGAGTATTTCCAGCACTTTTATCTCCTTATTAGGGTGAACAAATGTAAACAATCCCCATTTTCTGACCCAGTTTATGAAAATCCATTCATAAATAAAGAACTAAGAATATAAATGCTGAAATTAATAACCTTCGTTGGATATGTTTATTTATTTATTTATTTCAAATGGCAGGCGTTTTGGTAGTTATCATTAGCCCTTTATCTGACTTCGGGCTTCACAGAGAGGAGGCGGAACGTCAAAGTGACAAAATGTCGGGGGGGGGGGGGACAGAATAGTGATTCACAGATTTAAAGGAGACAAACAGACACAAAGGAGTGTTTTGTTACGCGGTAGGACAATTTTACGATAATGTGAATACCTCATTCCCCCATTAGGGACACTGCAAACCGGTTGTTCGAGGAACCGATTCCATTCATTGAATTTTGCGAAGTTTGTCCAGGGCTTCGAAAATATTTGATTGCGCAAAGTCTCGCAGTGTCCATCTTGCAACTTTCATTAAAAAAATAATGCATTTGTCTCTATGAGGTGCCAAGCTATCCCCCTCTCTTACTCATTCATTTATTGCATTGTCAGAAGTCAAATGAAGACATTTGGGCGCTAAATCTACTTTATTCCAACGAAAAATTTCTAATAATTGTCCAAAAAAAGTCTAAATTGCCCTGAATTGCTTCTTTTTAACGGCTAATGCAACTCCCCTCGATAGCAACTGTTCGTATCAATCCAATTCCCTTTTCACCACTAAGCTGAATAATTCCGCTTGAATGCTTGCATTGTGTTTGCTTTACACTTTAGTCGGTTTGAAAATTACATCTGAAATTGATCTCTATATTCCAAATGAGGAAGAAAATTCCTCTTTTTCTGAACCTCTAATGGAGAAATTCCTCTTCCTTTTGCTCAGTCGGGTTACTATCAATAATCTCCCTAGACCAATTCTATCGTATGGTGCATTTCGGTTCCGTGAAATGTCACTGTTAGTTTTGCCATCTCGGCTACAAAGTGACACTCTTTCAATTCACCCAAATTTGGTTTCCAAGCAAATTGCAAAGAAAAGTTTCTAGCGTTACCAATTTTTTGGAGTTGCGCCAACTTAGATACGTATACAATTCCTTTGTCCTTTTTTTTCACGTGAATTACCGGGAGGAGGAAGCGTTTCCGTCCCTACAGGAATTCACCTCCCGATTCATAGCGCGTCGTGAATTTCGTCGTAGTCACTGTCGCCCTGTTTCTTGCTACTTATCTGCACAATTGCATACCAAGCAGATATTGTTGTGCGCATTTATATACCCCACCCAATTCTTTTTTTCTGATTTCTATTACAGCCTAGTGGTATAAAGACACTTGGCCCTAGTAAATTGAATTGCGTATAACTCAAACATTCACTTCCTCGCTTCCTATTTTCATTATTGGACAAAGGGAAAATGCCTAATTTATCTAGTAACTAGCATGTGCATTAGGGGTACTTGATGGAAGTAAGTGTCGCTAGCGTGTACAAGAACACGTATTCGAAGGTTGCCGAATGAAACTAAATTCAAAGAATGGCCACCTTTGAACGACAAACCATGGATTTAATGGAAGAAGCATTCATTCTAATTCCTAAGTTAAATTTTCTTTGTTGACTTTGTGTCTACAAATCGGAAACATTGATCACAAGGCCATGTTTCGCTCCTTGTGCTTTTTCTACACTGATGTCGTTGAGTTTGTACAATTCTTTCTTGCTTTGTAGGAAGAAGGTTCCCAGTGCCTACATGACTCTGAAGAAGGCCGATGTGGATTGCATTGTTCTCGCCACAAAGTGGTTTATCTGCCTCTTTGCCGATGTCCTTCCAATTGAAGTACGTTTTTCAATTATTTGCATAATCATTTTCTCAAACATTTATCCTCATTTTTGCTTTATTGTATTTTTACTGTTGTATGCTAGCAGTCTACCTTATTTCCTAATCAGAGGTAACTATTTTAATTCGCGTTATTTCGGCTCTTTTATCCTTTGGTGTTAATCAGAGACTTCAATTTGTATGCCCTAAATGTAATATGATCGTTGATGGCACATTTCTCAAATGTGCTTGTAGTTTACAAAAAAAGCAACAAAATGCGTTCTAAAACATCGTTGGCATCTACTTTAAAAATTCATATGGCATGGGGAAGTTCTGTAACTCAGTGGCGCGGTTCATATATTAAAGGAGGGGTACGTGATAGACTTACCTCCACGTGGTGCACCCTGGGCAACGTATACTCACACGGCAAATATGTCTATTAACTGGCAGTAGACTTCTGACTTCAATCTACCATGAGCCGACTTTATGTCATATTCGACCACTAACACAGTACTCACCTTACCTTTTTCTCAACCTTTGTGTCTGTCTGTCTCTTTTACATCTGTGAATCGCTCTTCTGTTCTCCACACCTCGACTTTCTGCTACTTTGATAAACCTTCCCTCTGTGAAGCTCGAAGTCAGCTAAATGGCTAATGATATCTATCAAAACGTCTGCCATTTGAAATAAATATATATTAAAGGAATTGTTTATATTGTCTAAGCTGTATGGTCGGTGATTGGCTAGCTAGTGTGAAGATGCAATAATGGAAAATTCAGTATGGTAAGAAATTAGTCTCATGAAGTAATACAGTACTCAAGCTGTCCAGTTGATTAACTTTCCTCACAATTCTTGAGTCTGTATTTCCAATACTTTTTTTCCATGTCATACTCAGACATGTCTAATACGCCTTTGGCTTCTATTTTAAGCAAGCAGGCGGGTAGATTATTGCTCAAACCCACGAGGATTCAACACATCGATTAAATGGCGTTTATAAATA